CACGCAAACCCAAACGTCAAACCCCTAAAAATCACCCGGATCATCGGCCCCTTCTCGCTTCTGTGTAATTCACTGCTGTCTGGTACTGAGGCGGTCCCCAGTCCCTACCATCCGAAGTCCGGGGAGCGGGGTCCCGGGTCCCGGGACGGACCCTTCCGTCACCGCGCGCTGCACGCGCTGGCTACGCCGCTGCGCGGCTGTCCCGGTCGCGTTCGTTATTCTCTCTCTCTCTCTCTCTCTCTCTCTCTCTCTCTCTCTCTCTCTCTCTCTCTCTCTCTCTCCCTCTCTCTCGCCCCCCCCCCCCGCCCCCCCAGCTTACTTACATACATCTTACTTACTTTTGTACGGGTAGGCAAGGCGGGGGGGGACTCTGTCCGTTGTGAATGCGCGCGGGCTTTCTAGGCCCGCGGGTAGTCGCTCCCCCCACCCGCAGGGCCTCCAAACCTCTTCATACGCAGGTCTGTGATGTCGAGTGGGTAGACTTTACCGAATCCCTTCATCCGCGCGGTCGGTCGCGGGCCGGGAACGGCTGCAATATGGACACCCGCGACAGCGATGGCGCGAAGGGCGAGGCGATGGACCCGTCGGACGATCCCGAGGCGCCCTGCTACTGCGTGCGCCCCTGCGACGGCCCGTGCGAAAACGGCTGGTGCGACAACGGCTGCTACAAGGACGGCTGCGAGCACTGGTGCAGTCAGTGCTGCCCGGATGTGACGTGCTGCCCGGAGCGGTGCGTGCTGTGCGTCAGCGTGTGCTGCTGGGAATTCTGCAAGTACGAGCTGGCATGCTGCAAGCCGCCCCCGCCGCCCCCGCCCTGGATGGAAGCCTTCGGCACTCCCCCAAAGCCGTGGAAGTACGTTTGCGGCGACCGGGTGGCGACTGCCCTCTATCTGATCTACAGGATCTGCCTGTTTGGGGCCTCGCTGGGAGTGGCAATCTGGCTCGCGACCGAGCACGACAGCAGCACGCACTACGGGCAGAGATTTTTCATCTTTCTGCCCAACTGGATGCTCATCTATCAAGTGATCTACCTGTTCCTTGCGTCGACGACCACCGCCCTCGCGGTGGCGCAGAAGGAGCCCTGCGCCTGCGTCGTACCCTGCTGCTGCACAACCATCACGACGCCGTGGTATGCGCACCTTGCGTGGGCCATGCACATGACCGCCGTTGTGATGCCGATCTATCTGGTGCTCTTTGACTCCTTCCTGGTTGGCGACCTCAGCAATGGGCCGCAGTGCAACATGTGGTCAGGCGATAACGATAATGACGACTGGACAGACGACTGCTGCCCGAAACTGTCGTACTGGGACTCAGAATGTACTCAACAAGCTCCTCAAGGGGTGTCGTCCTCCACAATAGCGGTTGCCACGTACCTGATTCCGCGCAGCACCCAGTGGATCACGCTGCTCATCTCGCTCCTCGACTGGTGCGTCCACGAGCAGTACTACCCTGTTTGGGACATGTTTTGGCCGCAGCTGCTCTGCTGCATCTACACCGTCTTCACGCTCATCTACCAGGAGGAGACGGGGAAGGAGGAAGGGGCAACTCCGTACGTCGTGTACCCCGAACTCGACTGGTCCGAGGCGTCCAACGCCGCGATGGTGTGGTTCACCAAGTTCTTCTCGATGGTCGCGCTCATCTACGGCATCATGGCACTGCTCGACATGCTCCTAAAAAAGTACATGCTCTGCGCGTGCCTGATGCTGCCGTGCAAGATTTGCCACATGTGCTGGACCAGCCCGTGCTGCCCGCCCGC